ATGTTTCCCACAGCGAAGGTTAATCCGGAACGCTGTGCGGGGCACCACTGTATATGAAATCCTAAATTTTTGGATGAAATACTCACAACCACACTTCTAAATCTGGAAGTGGAGTCATCGCAGCTGGACTTCCCTCTTATTAGGTTGAAACGTTTTGCTACTCATCCAAGTAACTTCTTCAGTCTGAGGAGAGTTGGTAGGAGACCCCTGATATATCCTCCATATTGGTTTCGCTTCCCCCTAGTATGGATAGGCTCCTTAGATGGACAATGGATGGGGAGTGAGTGAAAATCCCACCTCTTGCAGACCTTCTCCACCCATTGTCATGGGTCGTTAACAGTGGTCTTTCTGGTGAGTGGGCCTGATCTTTCTTGGGATGGATGAAAGGGCAGCATGATGAATAGGAGGCAGATTGTATCTAGGGCCTCCACCCCCATTGAGTGAGGGATTTTCTGTATGCACATGTATGGCCTCTCCAACCCTTCTCTCAAACCACCTATCTTATCGGTCCAAATCTTATTGGTCCAAAATGAGTGCATCAAATGAGTATCCTTTGTTCTTCCAATGAAGGAATGCTGCAGATTATTGTCCTGAGCTGGGCCATTCTCCTGTTTAGTTAGCTGTTTGCTTTCTCCAATGCAGAGCTCTGAAAGGATTTTTGGTAAACACTACATGCCTGTGCATTTCAAACCCACAAACACATTAATGCAGAGACTTGTACACCCAAAAGACCAGACGCCAAAACACAACAGGAGCAATAAAGTATATGTGGCCCAATGCAAAGAGGAGTGTTCGGAGCATTTCTGTCTAAGAAAATAGGTGATTTGAGAGAGGGGTCAAAGAGGCCATTCATGTACACATAGAAAATCCGTCACTCAATGGGGGTGTAGGCCTTAGATTCAAGCTGTCTCCTATTTATCATGCTGCCCTTGCTTCCCTCCCCAGAAAGATTAGGACCACACACACCAGAAACACCACTGTTAACGACTGTTAACAACCCATGACAATGGGTGGAGAAGGACTGCAGAGGTGGGATTTTCACTCACCTCCCCATCCTTTGTCCATCTAATGAGCCTATTCAGACCAAGGAGAAGAGAAGTGAAAGTGAAGGATAGGATATATCAGGGGTCTCCTACCAACTCTCCTCAGACTGAAGAAGTTATTGGGATGAGTAGTGAAACATTTCCACCTAATAAGAAATAACTCCAGTTGCCTTGGCTCAACTTCCAGATAACCACACCTGGATGACTGAGAATCCTCACAGATACACTTATTTGTAAATAATCTTAATTTATCCGATTTATTATGATTATTGAATTGGGCATAGTTTTTCTTCATTCATTTTTTTTTCATTCATAGAATCTGGAGCTTTGGCCACCCTAAAGCAGTGGTTCCCAACCATGGGTAACCCAGGTGTTCTTGGACTGCAAGTCCCAGAAACCCAGGCCAGCACAGCTAGTGGTGAAGGGTTCCGGGAACTGCAGTGTAAGAACATTTGGGTTACCCAAAGGTGGGAACCGCTGCTCCAAAGGAAGTTCTGACTTGAGTGGAAAGTTCTTGAACTGAGCAGGGGGTTGGACTTGATGGCCTTATAAACCCTTTCCAACTTCACTGCTTTATGAGTTTATGAAATGCCAGACTAGTGTAAATTCAGTTGCATTATCATGTGGCCAGCCTGATTGGCAGGTCTGCCAAGTAAAGGTCATTAACATTTCTATGTATTTGCATCTGTGTGGCTGCATGTGTCCCAGTCCTAGGTGTCTTGTTACACTACATGCTTTTCATGTTACAGTATAACAAGATTTTATGCAGATGTGTGTAATGCATTTAATGGCAAATCCACTTTGTGCCTAAAAGATTATTTTGGACAAGCTTATGCAGCCCATTACCCATTGAACAGAATAGCAGCAGCAGTAGTAGAAGTTACAAGAACAATAATAACATTTTAATTATTCCATAGAGAGAAGAAAAGCTCTTAAGACCGTTCTTACCAAGTTGAAGCTACGGAAACATAAAAGCAAGAAATTGGCCCTGCAAGAAATTCTGGAAATCAGTTCAGGAAGTTTAAAAGAATGCAGATCTGCTGCTTTGGGAGATTTACCTTGGCATTTTCTGAGGAAGGTTCTGGCTCTGAATGTATCAGCCAGGAACACAATTGTAGAGGAGGAGAACCTAGAGCAGAGGATGAAAGTCAAGGAGGAAGAAAAGAGAGTTGATGAGAGAATTTTCTTCAATAGTGAGACAGACGTAAGAGTTTCTGTGAACCCCCTTGATGTCCTTTGTGCCGTTCTGCTTTGTTCGGACAGTTTCCTTCAGCAGGAGATCTTCTCCAAAATGTCCCTTTGCCAGTTTGCTCTGCCATTGCTCCTGCCCCCTTTAGAGACTCCAAAGTGCACCCTGATGCTCTGGGCCATGCGGGGCATCGTGAAACAATGGATGCCCCATTCCCTGGCTGAAAGCAAAGGCTTTAGGGAAGAGAACCTGGTGCTGACACCCATGGCAGTAATCTCCTTTGTGCGGATGGGGACCTCAACCTTTTCCAAGTCCGCAGTCCTCAATGACTTTCTAAGTCCCTCCCAGCAGCACAATGATTTCTTCATTCACCGTGACAGTGAATCTGGAAACATTCCTCGAGAAATTGCCGAAGGGCTAGTAGAAATTGCTTGGTATTTCCCAGGACAAAAGAGCTCCGATCTCTTTCCAGAGCCAATTGCAGTCACAAATCTCCGCGGAGATGCTGAGTCACATTGGGTACAGTTTAGCTTTCTAACACAGGTCTCTTCGGCTGTGTTTATATTTGCTGACTGCATCAGTGAAAGAGAATATATCCTCTTGTCATC